TAAAAGTCTCCCTACCGAAAATAGTCATACACGTCTTTTGAACTTTTTGGGATGATGGGGGGAAATGGGGTTTTGAGCCTAAGACATCTTTCCCAATAGTCAAAATTGGTAAAATTTTCAAAATAAGGCAAGGGCCCTCACATTTCTTAATTTAAAACAGTCGTAAGACTGCAGAAAATGTTCCATATCATCCCAAAAAGTTCAAAAGACGTGATGACTATTTTCAGTAGGGTGACTTATCAAAATCTGCTTTCTATAGAAGATTCAAAATGCCTTATATTCGATCTTTTCAGAGTCAAATATGAAGTTTTGTGACTTGTTAAGGGTTAGGTAGGAATGATCATATGTTGTTTCTTGTCCAAGTATGGACTCACTCCACTAAAACATTTTATGCAAATGATGTAGTCCAGGCTATTTTTAGAAATCTTCTTTCTCCCTCCCTTTTGGGGTTTTTGCATGCCTATTTTTGGGTAAAATTTGGTTTAGATTTGGAATTTGATGTCTGAAATTGCATTATCTTTCAGATTTGGGGAGATGATGAGAGACCTAAAGGCGGAAGGCCAATTCTAAAAATAGTCGTTTTGTGAAGTGCCAAACTCTAGCAGATGAGTATAACTGGTAGTAGTCTACTTCAATTTTAGTAGCTCAAAATTTTCATGGTCATCATATAATGAATTTTTTAGGAGACATTGGGATTGGTCAGGCTTTCATTCGACATGTTGGAAAGCTTTCAACGAGATTTCTGGAAAAAGTTATAGAAGGTTGAATTTCCTGTTTTAACATGGGAAGAGATGGCAAATGAATTAGTGGGGTGAGTCCTATATGGCTTACAGTGGTTTCCCCCCTTTACAAGTTCCTACCATAGTGGTTTCCCCCTTTACAATTTCCATCCTAGTGGTTCCCCCCCAGTGGTTTCCTCCCCTATATGTAAGCTTTGGGTAAGTAAAGAATGAGAATTTGATTTAATAACATATTTTATTTCATTTTAAATATAAAAGTCTGTAGTTATATTTTCCCTAATTCAAATTATTTTTTTTTCTATATTATTTAATAATTATATGTGTTGTATACACGATTGCCTGAAACAAGTAAAGAGTTAATTTTTTTAGGCAATCATTATTGGTTTGGTCTTATGTTCAATTTCAACTGGATATTAACTTGTGTATTGGATT